GGCTCTGTGGACCGATGGACGGAGCTGAAAGTGTACGAATGTTCTTCAACCTTTACAAACAACGACTAACATCAGAAAAGTGTTTTTGTTATATGTTGGTTACATCTATAAACACAGTTCTGGTTTTCCAGAGGATCCACAGCACCATCCCAGCGGGGATCAGCTACACCTTAGCATCGTCACAAAGCTATGACATCACAACCACACGGCCAATCAAAGGACTGAGAGAACAGAGAATATAACAGCCAACATACCCAAGTGCATGTCACAACCATTTACTCACCTGTGGACTGTCCAGTGTGAAGAATAAAGAAATCTAAAGGTTTAAACAAACAATCTGGAGATGCACATGTAGGATATTGGAGACATTTGTACATTATCAGGAAAGAAATGTATCACACAGCAAAAAGCAGCAGAAAAACACATGTTTGTGATTTAAAGCAGAGAATGGAAGCTGATTGGTTCACAGAAGGCAGGCAGAGTGATGATGTCAGCATCAGCATGGGAAACAGGAAGTGATATAAAGAATAGGATGAGCGATCAGCACTAGAAGCAAGAAATGACTGAATGAATCATTTATTTTATCTCAATGAAAGTAAAATTTGACAAAACAAGTATTTAACATAAAACTTGTTTTATTAGTTTTAAATTTGATTACAGACGATGTTAAAAGTTAAAATACGGATTAGAATAAACTAGTAAACAAAGGTTGCAACAAATAACACAGCAGCTAAACTGAAACTCAATCATTGAAGTTTTCTGGAGAAACAACGTTATGAGAAGAAGCATCCACAATGCTCCACCTCCGTCTGCAGCTTCGCCTCCATCTGCTGCTCCACCACCTCGGCTCCCCTGCTCCAGCCTGAGGCCGTCTGATTGGCTGTTCTGCACTCATGTCTCTCTGTATTTGCTCAGATTAGGTTCCACTCCGGTTCCTGCTCTGCACGCCCAGCTACACCCAGCTACGCCCACAGTTCTCCACACCTTTTGACCCAGTCTGCATCCTCAGCCTGGCAGCACTTATTCATCTTTCATCTCACTGCATCGATCTCATGCAGCCATAAAATCTACATATTTGTAAAAACATGTTGTAATCTCGTTTTTGTCCTGCAACGACTGAAACAATAAAGTGAAAATCTGATGATTTTTTTCATTCATTTTAAAAAAGGCTGCAGGTTTGTTTGTATCTGCAGCTGTTAGAGTCTGCTCTACTCCTGCACTGCTTTAGTGGCAGCGGTGGAGAATTAGCTCCACCTGCTGCTGATCTGTCAGTTTCTCTGCCAATGAAACCATTTCAAGCCTGCTGCTGTTTTCTTTATTCTGGGCTGATCACCTCGTTTGTGTTCCAGGGTGCCGATCATCATGTCAACTCAAGCGCCGACGTTCACGCAGCCGCTACAGAGCGTCGTGGCACTGGAGGGTAGTGCCGCCACGTTCGAGGCTCAAGTTAGTGGTAAGAGAAACGTGTGATGGTGACGTTCTGCAGAGGATGATGTTTGACACTGTTGTGATTTACAAAGAATGAGCAGATGTTTGACTTCATTCGTCAGAAAGGAGAGAAATAATGTTAAAGTTCATATAAAAACTATTAGACATTGAAGCCATGCAGCTGATACAGAGGTTCACTGCAGACTGTGCAACATTCATATCTGGACTCTTTGTATTTATAGAGAGAAATGATGGACTTTTGAGGGTTAAATGTTCTCGTCACCTTTCTTTCTTTTCTCGTGGCGAGCGAGGCTTTTACAGGCTGCTGCTGCTTTCAGGGACATTCTGACATTTGGGAGGTCAGAGTCAATGCCTGTGATAAAAATAAAGGTGACAGAATTTCAGCAGATGCCTTTCCCTTTCAGGAACTCAGGGGAAGCATGTGCCAACATTTACACAGACAGCTCCTGATTGGTTCTTCAGCCTTTCTCCCTCAGTTTTCTGTTTTAAGTCCAAACAGCCCAAACCACAGGGAGCTGAGATGGTTGCTGCATTGCTGCTTGCTATTGGTGGCAGTGTTTGAGGGGAGAACAGTCTGCTTCTTGTTGCTTTGACCCAATGATTGCTTGACTTAAAAGGAGAAATGTCATTTGTTCTAAGTTTAACCAGTGAGTATAAAAGCAGCCGTCCTTTATTCTCCTGACAGACTGGTGCAATCAGTCACACAGGGACAGCTCTGCAGGTCAAGCTAGGTGACGATAAAGCCACATGAAGGAAACATATGAAGCTTCTGAAGTTTAGTCTCGATTCTTTCATGATTAACCAGGTAAAACAAACCTGATAGTGACGTTTTCCTGCTCTGACTTCATCTCACTGACGGTCTCATGATTCAAAAGAATTACTCTTTGTTGTATTGATCTTAGTTCTTATTTCCTTTAAAGCTCTCGTATATTTTAAACAGTAATCGTATTTTTAAATCCATCAGACACAAAATCAAAATTTGATCCCAGTTTTAAAATGTTTAATTTCTACTTTAGCTAAATAAATGCCACATTTTCAGTTTCTACATTTTTAAACAATTTGAAAACCTCACGTCAACAACGTTAATCTTAAAGATGATTTTTTTAAATTTCAAATAAAAAGTTGAAAATTTTCTAAACTGTTAATAAAGTTTCTCCCACTCGTTCATCGTTTGCTTTTCCTTTCTCACATTTTTGTTTCACGCGTTAGAATCTCACTGCTTTACTGAAAGCACTGACCTTGTGGCTCAGGTCTCAGTCCTGGATCCTTTGGTGCATGTTGGTTTGTGGGTTCTCCGACAGAGTCTCATTCATCTCTTTGCAGGTTCTCCAGTTCCTGAGGTGAGCTGGTTCCGTGATGGCCAGGTACTTTCTGCTGCCGCTCTGCCCGGCGTTCAGATCTCGTTCAGCGATGGCCGCGCTGTTCTGAGGATTCCTGCTGTGACCGCCGCGCACAGCGGACGATTTTCTGTCAGAGCCACCAACGGTGCTGGACAAGCCACAAGCACAGCCGAACTATTAGTTACAGGTGAGCTCACAGAAGGACTTCAGGTGGTAAACTAAAGTACTTCTGCTCCATGAACATTTCCCATACATTTCTTTTCAAAAAAGCTGCTACAAATAGCAAATTTTAATGTTTTAATTTTGATATTTATAGATTGTAAAGAAGGTTCATTTGTGTATATGTTATCACTTAGCTGCCATCCAGAGTTTCAAAGGATAAACAGCATATGGATAACAGTCAGCAGACGTTGCAACATCATGAGCTGATTTTTAACACCCGTCTGAATCAAACTGAAAACAAACTGTTATTAACAATTCAGTTTTCTAAAAAGTCATAAACTGGCTTTATTTTATTGTGTACTTGCACAACGAATGCTGAGATCTGCTGATATAAAGCGACCTGTACCTCCTTCTCCAGCGGAGACGGTGCCTCCGAGCTTCATTCAGAGACTACAGAGCTCCACGGTGAGACAGGGCAGCCAGGTGAGGCTGGATGTTCGCGTCACCGGGATCCCCGCACCTGTGGTAAAGTTCTACAGAGAAGGGGCCGAGATCCAGAGCTCCACCGACTTCAGGATCATCCAGGACGGAGACCTGCACAGCTTGCTGATTGCTGAAGCCTTCCCAGAGGATTCTGGGACGTATTCAGTGACAGCCACCAACAGCAGCGGACGGGCCACCTCCACAGCCGAACTGCTGGTTCAGGGTAAGAACCGTTCATCTCTGCTTCTTCTTCCTTTTGGAAATTGCTTTGATGACAAACACAGACTAAAGAAGAGACATTTTCAGGCGAAGAAGCCGTTCCAGCAAAGAAAACAAAGACCTTGATTTCAACCGCCCAGATTTCAGAGACCCGACACACCAGAGTAGAAAAGGTAAAAAAAATCCTCAAAGAAATGTGTTATTGTCTAATTTACTCGTACTTAATCTAACTTCATGAACTCTGCTGTCCGTCCCCAGAAGATGGAGGCCAGTTTCCAGGCTTCCGCCATGATGGAGATGCAGATAGAGGGCGCAGAGCTGGCTCACAAGACTCCACCCAGAGTTCCTCCGAAACCCACATCCAAGTCACCAACTCAGCCATCACTGGTGGCCAAGGTGACCGGGGGACGGCAACAGTCACCGTCACCTGTCAGACATGTGAAGGCACCCACACCCACGCCTGTCAGGTGGGTAGAGTCTGGGAGGGGTTATTTGCCTGTTCGTAGCTTTTACATGGAAAGAAGTCAGCGAATGATTACTGACAGAGATCTGCTGATCCGGTGTGCTCGATGAATAAACCAATCAGGGCAGCTGTGTAACTCTCAGTCTCACCTTTCAGGGCGGTCCCGCCCCCTATCACCGCACACAAGCAGGCCGCCGGGGACGTCCTCCCGCCCTGGAAGCAGGGAGACTACGTGGCCGAGGGCAGGACTGTCACTCAGTTGGTCCGGGAGCAGCAGGTCACCATGGTCAAACAGGTGAGGGCTGGCATCCCTGGGGTAGCACGACATATTCCCCTCCACAGATAAACCATTCCAGGAGGCACTTCACAAAAGTGTTTCAATTAAACGTGAGGTTCCCAGATTCCTGAGTCTTTCTTCTTTGGGTTCAGCTGCGTTACCATCAGCTCCCTGACTGTGTTTGGTCATGAAATATTATTTCCACTTCTCTATTTGTGACGTTCATGTCTCACAGCCTCTGCGGTGGATTTCAGGTCCTTGTTTAAAGGTATTACGGGTTTACTCTGAAAAACAGAACCCGCCATCCACCTTCCTCCACCTTACAGCCAATTCTTTTCCATGTGTTCCTTGTTTTAATGTGCCCGATTGTTTGCCCTGCTCATAGTCACATCATTGGCACAGCATCACACAGCAGTCTGAACATGTGGTCTTTGACATGAAAAGAGAATCATCTGAAGCTGATGATGTGAGTTTCACCCTGGATGATGAGGGATGGGACATCTCTGCAGGCTGGGCGGGACTGTAACTTCTTTCAGCCCCACACAGATTCGTAGGGTGAAGGGGGGAAACATGTGAAAACGTTAAAAACCAAGAAGCAACATCTTTACTCACAGAAGAGGAGGAAAAATACACCCTCAAAGAGCTGTGTCCTCTGTGTTTAACCACAAGACTTTAGCACCTGTTTCCAGTAGAGAGCAAGCCTGTTCAGCTGAAGATGCTGTCAGAATACCTGATGTCCTCCTGATGTGTCTGAGATCGCTTCAGCTTAACTCAGAAGACTGGTCTTATTATTTTATTGTATCGCCACAAGATTGTGGCTGTTTGCAGCTAACGTCACTGCTGACAAACAGATGAACCAATGTGCTGTCTTCAAATGACTTTAAACCTTTAAAGGGGTCAGGCTTTAAAAACCGGTTCAGGTGTTGAGCTGGATGTTAGTCATTATCTTTGTGTAAACCTGTTCTTATGTAATTATGAGTTTTGACATTTGGGATTCCCTCAGAAGCAGGCAAGTGTCGAGCAGTATAATAAAGCAGAACTTTTCGTGTTCTTTAAGTACCTTATTATCTCATTTGGATAACTGGAGTCAGGCTAAGCTTTGCAAAGAACTGGAAGCTGGGGAGACAGCTAATCCGGCTCTGCCCGTAGTCCAAGATCTACCTCTGAAGCTCATTCAATAGCCTGTTGTTTATTGTACAACCATCCAGCCCAGAGTTTTAGACCTGCGTTAATAGAGTCAAGCTAACTAAACCCAGTCTATATGCAAATTTGGGCAAATCAGGTCTTTCTCCCAGCTCTGTATTTTTCTTTGAACGAGGGGATGGAGATACCTGCCTGTTTCTGTACCGCTCTGCTGGATGTCCTGAGATCTGTTGTGTCTCCAGGCTGAGGGAGGGAAAAGAGCGGGGGCAGTGGCCACCGTGGTGGCTGCCGTCGACCTCGCTCGTGTCCGTCAGCCCGCGCTTGTCGAGGGGGGTCGAGCTGAAGAGGACGAGGCTGTAGAGGCGGACTTAAGACAGCAGGCCGCCACCGTGGCTGCTGATCAAAGCTATCAAGCTGCTTTGACATCAACAAGAATGCAAAGTGGGCTCATGCTTTCTACTGCTCAGGAGTTTACACGTGAAGCAGCCGTGCTGCAGCCTCAGGTTAGCTAGGCCTCCAGTGAACAACGATTACCAAGAGATTTGACCAAACTATCAGCAGATTTGAATTCTTTCCTTTATTTTTTATTTTGGTATTTTAGTCAGCCCCCCCACCTTTGCTGAAGATAACAGATGGATGTTTTATTTTCCATCAAAATGTAAAAGTTCCAAAAAATGATTTTGCACAATTACAAAAAAAGCATCTCAGAAAAAACAGTCCATATGTCAGATCAATTATTTAATTATGTATTAAGTGTGTCTTTGGGCAAAGTCTCGTTTGAATTATTTGGTGAATAATGACCGAGTCATCTCTGTGAGGTCACCTCGTAGTCAACCATAACAAAGACATGTGAAGCACAAATCTCTTGATAATCACATAGTCATCTTCTAAATATACTGTGCAGATTTTAAAATCCTCCTGAGGTTCTGACTCTTGTTGTGTTGGTTGCTCCAGATTCAGGGAGTGACAGAAATCTGCTCCCGTGTGGACACTGGTCTCACCCCGTCTCCAGTTCCACAATTCACAGTTTCTAAAGTGTCTGTCCCAAAACTCGAGTCTAGCAGTGAGGTAAGACAGGAGGCATCAGGCGAGCTGTGGAAAATAATAATGTGACAGGACCGTTGCTGTGGCAAGCTTATTGAACTGCTGATTGGCTGAAATGCAAACTTGTGTTTTAATGCAGTGTCAACGTGATCAAATATTATCCATAAAATAACTAAATCAATCCTCCCTTAACCTTCTTTTGCTTCATCCCCTTATTTAATAAACGTGATTGATCCAGTACCTTCTATTAATCCATCTTAATCAAAGACCCTCTATCTGACCTGTTGTAGCATTAATCAGACTAACGTGCCATAGCTCCTCTGTGCTGTGGTTTAACACACATTTCAGAAAAGACTCAACAGTATGTTCTCGATGACGGTGTGGCTCTTCCTCTTTGGGTCGGTCAGGTTTCCATCGCCGGCTCAGCCATGGCCACTCTGCACAAAGAGTTATCCTCGTCTTCTACCACTATTCGAAAGATCATCAAGCCTGTCAAGTCTCCCAGTCCATCTCGCAGAGTAGCAGAGACCAGAGAGATGCTGGAGACCATCCCACCACCGTTCAAACACTTCACTGACAAATATCAGAGTCGTTCTGAGTTACAGACCGGGGTGGTGTACTCAGGCAGACTGGAGAGAATGTATGAGGACTGGGGAGCCCAGGTTTGTAATGTCGCTCAGAGAGCTGGGTCTAAACAGGACAAGAAAACCTGATGTGGATGTAAGATTATACAATCCGTTAGCTGCCAACAGCTGGCCAAAGTATCGTGAATTTTATCAGATATTTTCAAGATGATGAATCCTAATATGAGCTGCCTGATTAGATCCTCGTTCACAGGCTGAAAAACCTCTATTTGAACTCTGGAAAAATCTGATTGAAAGGGCAGAAGTTCCTGTTACCCCGGGTTTGAATGCTCCTCATTTCATTGACATTTTCACCATTTATTAGACTAAAGAACAGCTGAAGAAAAATGTTGTGGGACACAGGTCATACTTCTGGTTTTTACAACTTCTCTTGATGGTTTTCTTGATTTCTGTGAAAATCCATAATTAAATATCCCTGTAATAAACTTTAACTGGCTTCTCCATGCTATTGACAACCTCATTCTCACCTCTGCAGTCCATCCAGCCTTCCCTCCATCATATGTGCTGTGTTACCTCTTCTTCATCGTGTGTGTGTGTGTGTGTGTTGTGATGGTTGTTTCTGTCACTGTGTCCATGTGTGGGATCGTAGAAATAGCTGCTGTAGTTTTTCAGCCTAATGTTCCCAACATACCTGTGAATATCTTCCAGGTGGTGGAGGCAGCTGCGGTGCCTTCTGCCGGTGGTGCTGTGGTCCCTCCCACGCTGATTTCTGTGAGTGGACTGCCCTCAGATCACATGTCCACACTGTTTAGGGAAAGAGACCTTTTTGTAAAGGTGTTGTGATATTTTTTTGTGCAGGGATTGAAGAACACAAATGTGATCGAGGGCGAGTCTGTGACCCTGGAGTGCCAAATCAGCGGTCAGCCCACCCCCATCATTATGTGGTTCAGAGAGGACTACAAGATTGAGAGCTCCATTGATTTCCAGATCACCTACGAGAGTGGATTTGCCAGACTGGTGATCCGTGAAGCATTCGCTGAAGACAGCGGCCGCTTCACCTGCACAGCTACCAATGAGGCGGGAACTGTCAGCACGTCCTGTTACCTGCTTGTCCAGGGTCAGTGCAAGCAGAATGCAGTGTCACTCACACAGGAAGTTTTCAGTAATCTTCTTTCGTAGTATGCTGTAACATACTGAGGAACGATGCCCAGCGTGTCCAGCAAATATCAGGATAACTTTAATTTGAGCCCTTTTTTCCTCAGAGACTGTTCACATGCATGCACCGAGCCCTGTTCTTGATACACACAAGACCTGAAATCTTCCCGTAACATAATCTCATCCCTTCCCGTCTATACGTTCTGCATATTCATGCGTTTAGAGTGATGAACTGTCTTTCCCCACCAGTGTCTGAAGACATCGAGAGCAGAGAGGAGATTGCTGTTGTTACAGAACATGTTGAAACTGCTCAGTGAGTAAAGTTTGAGTTACATTCATCAAGTGAAATCGTCAAACATATTGGTTTCTTATTTTACATCACTGAAACGAATGACAGGCGGTACAGGTTGGGCCTGAAAATAAGGAAACATTTTTATTTCCAGATTAAGAGAAACCAGAGAGGAGACCCAGGTGAGCATGGTGGAGTCAGAGACTGCTGCTGCTGCTCCCTTCTTCATCAAGAAACCAACCATCCAGAAGCTAGTGGAGGGTGGAAGTGTTGTGTTTGAATGTCAGATTGGGGGAAGCCCCAAACCACACATCATCTGGAAGAAGAGTGGTGTCCCACTCACTACCGGATACAGGTGAGTAATACCTGTGCTCAGGTTTTCACTGTCCTTACATGGAAACCTTTTTATCTGACGTGTGAATGCAGCTGTAAAACAAATCCCCTAACTCAAGGACTAAAGTGCTAAAGTCATCACTGTAAAACTGTAAGAAATGAACACGTCATTAGAGCTCAGCTTTCTACCAGAATACACAACTCGGACCCCCCCTCTCAAACCCAACTGACACCAATCCTAAAGTCCCGGTCAGATATAACACAGGATTAGCAAAACCAAACATCTGGCTCATGGTTCAGCTAAGATCAACTGTCTCACCCAGTAATGAGCCGCCAGCACATTAAGCTACAGCTCTCATTCCTGCTTCTGCATTGAGATCAATCCCTTTAGACCTGAATCCATGATTTTATCTTCAGTGGGCTCTTAGGTAAGACTAAGTATGGGTAAAATATTAGGACACTGTTTGCTCCTATTGTGATACAACACGCTGCAGCCTTCAGGGGCCTGTAATGCTCATTCCCCTCCATCAGATACAAAGTTGCCTACAAGAAGGAGACTGGAGAGTGCCGTTTAGAGATCTCCATGACCTTCGCCGATGACGCTGGAGAATATGCCGTGTTTGCCAAGAATAAGCTTGGAGAAGTCTCTGCCTCCGCCAGTCTGCTGGAGGAAGGTCAGTAAATACTGCAGTGATGGCAAACTGCTGTCCTAGAGATATAACACAAGGAGCAGAGATAAAGGGACTGTCAGTGGATATTATGCCATACAGCTGATGCAGAAACAGTTAGCTTGCACAGTCCTTAAAGAGACGATGGAAACTACTTGAACTCCTAGGATTGTTTTTTTTAATTTTGTTTTCTTTGCCAACAGAGGAATATGAAGCCTACATGAAGAAACAGGAAGCAATGTTTAAGACTGAAGTGACATCCATTGTGCAAGAGCCCAAGGTGGGAGATATTCCCCCTGTCACTGTTACAACAATGGAGAAGATAACCACCACCATTATCTCTGGACAGGTAGAGAATCCTTAGCCATAGCTGTGATCATAATACAAACCATGTCAAAGCCATCATAACGAACTAGAGGGTTATATGGAGTGTTTGTCACTATCCCGTGTAATAGTTCATATGAGCTCCAGTGAGCTGTTTACAAAAAAAGGCTGGAGATGCCACAAAGTCTCAAATCCTGATAGAACAGTTAGTATGTGGACACATTTCACCTCTATCATTTTGTGTGCTGTATATCACATCATGACGATGAGTACAGCACAAACTTAAGTAAGCACTTTACCTTGAGATTAAGTAAAAAGCTGGGGTCCCTGTAGCTGCAGATACTGCTGTTGTCAGTAGTAACTGCAGTTGATATTGTAATTCAGTGCACACTGTCAGACTGGTTGACTATCCAGCTTTAGTAAAACCTTTATGTGCCTTTAAATATGCATTAAATATGCACGTTGTTGGGAAGAAAATGTAATAACCGATGCATAAAAATTAAAGCAAGCATAAAAATCATCATTTTCGTAATCTACAAAGACCTTTCCTTGGGCTTGACTATGATCAGGACCCACTGACTGACATCATATCATATCTGCAGGAATTCCATCTGTCTGTCATCGAGCAGAGGATCATCCAGGAGATTGAGTTTACCATTATGAAAATCAGCTACAGAGAGATTGTGACAGAGGACGGAGAGCTGATGGTGACTGCCACTGAGACTGAGGCAGTACAGCCAGCCTTTGACACTCCAGTGAAAAGTTACAGGATCATGGAGGGGATGAGCGTTACTTTCCACTGCAAGATGTCTGGAATGCCGCTCCCCAAGGTGCTGAATCTTTAAGAAATATGTTACAATTAGAGAACTGGTCTTGAAATACATAAAAAGCTCTAAAGTAGAGTTCACATGATTTTACGATCACATCGTATCTCTTGGCAGATTGCTTGGTTCAAAGATGGCCAGCGTATTAGGGCTGGAGACCATTACCAAATAGAGGTTCTTCAGGATGGACGGGCCAGCCTTCGCCTGCCTGTAGTGATACCCGAAGATGAAGGCGTGTACACCGCATTTGCCACCAACATGAAGGGTAATGCTGTCAGTTCTGGGAAGCTCTATGTGGAGCCATGTGAAATAGTAACACCTCAGCAATTCACACCACAGCCAGCAGTGCAGAGGATCAGGTAAAGCTTTTCTTAAACAACAGAGACATTCACAAAGCTTGAAACAGGGAACACTGACGATAAGGGAAATGACAAGGATTAATACTTTCTCAGGTCCACATCTCCTCGCTCTCTGAGCCGCTCACCTGGCCGTTCTCCCAGTCGTTCACCTGGACGTTCTCCTGCTCGTCGGCTAGATGAGACTGATGAGGCTCAGCTAGAAAGACTCTACAAGCCTGTTTTTGTCATGAAGCCTTCATCATATAAATGTTCTGAGGGACAAACTGCCAGATTTGACCTGAAGGTTGTGGGCAGACCAATGCCTGAGACGTACTGGTTCCACAATGGTGAGTACAACAAAGAGGAAATCTTCAAAAAGAGTTTGAACAAAATTTGTTGATCTCACAAGCCATTCAACTATCTTCCTCTCAGGACAACAAACAGTTAGTGACCACACCCACAAGATCGTGGTTAAAGAGGATGGCACTCAGTCCCTGATCATCGTTCCAGCTTTGCCACAAGACTCCGGGGAGTGGACTGTGGTGGCTCAGAACAGAGCTGGACGCACATCCATCTCCGTCACTCTCGCTGTTGATGGTAAGAAGGCAACTTCATATTCTCTCAACATGAAGCTTCTTACAGAAGGAAAAATGTTGGGGGATCGGCTTACTTTCATTTAACTTTCTTTCTTTAACTTTCTCAGCCAAGGAAACCCTGGTGCGTCCACAGTTCACTGAGAAACTGAGGAACATCAGTGTGAAGCAGGGCACTCTGGTTGAACTGGCTGTCAAAGCCATTGGAAACCCACTGCCTGATATCGTCTGGCTGAAGAACAGCGACATCATCACCCCACACAAGCACCCAACCATCAAGTATGTTCTGTGACTTTAGCATTAAATGTAGATCACATCTGTTTGCTTCAATGACCTTGATGCAGCAACACACCTTTTTAATGAAACGCTGCATTTGTGGAGAGTAAAAGTATTCCTCAAAGCAACCTGAGATTTTCATTTCAATTAAAAACACTTGTCAAATGTCAAAGCTTCTCTAAAGTGAGAATTTGATTTTCCAGGATTGAAGGAACCAGAGGAGAGGCTAAATTCCAGATCCCATCAGCAGCTGGCTCAGACAGCGCCTGGTACACTGCTACAGCCATCAACAAGGCTGGCAGAGATACCACTCGCTGCAGAGTCAATGTTGAGGTGGAATATGCTGAGCCTGAACCAGAGAGGAAACTCATCATTCCCAAAGGAACATACAAAGCCAAAGAGATCGCTCCTCCAGAGGTGGAGCCGCTTCATCTGCGATATGGTCAAGAGCAGTGGGAGGAAGGCGACCTTTATGACAAAGAGAAGCAGCAAAAACCACAGTTCAAGAAGAAGCTGACATCTGTCCGCATGAAGCGCTTTGGTCCAGCTCATTTTGAGTGCAGACTGACTCCTATTGGTGACCCCACAATGGTGGTGGAGTGGCTGCATGACGGCAAACCTCTGGCTGCTGCTAACAGATTGCGCATGGTGAATGAATTTGGTTACTGCAGCCTGGACTATGAAGCCGCTTATGCTAGAGACAGCGGCGTCATTACCTGCAGAGCGACCAACAAGTACGGAGTTGACCAAACCTCAGCCACCCTGATTGTCAAGGATGAGAAGGGCCTTGTTGAGGAATCACAACTTCCTGAAGGAAGGAAAGGTGCCCACCGGATCGATGAGATGGAGCGTTTGGCTCATGAAGGTGGACCTTATGGAGTCACTGCTGAAGAAGAAACAGAGAAGATGAAGCCTGAGATCGTCCTTCTTCCAGAACCAATCAGAGTTTTAGAGGGTGAAACGGCTCGATTCCGCTGCAGAGTGACCGGATATCCAACACCAAAAGTTAACTGGTACCTCAATGGACAACTTATCCGCAAAAGCAAGAGATACAGACTTCGCTATGATGGCATTTACTACTTGGAGATAACTGACATCAAACCATATGATTCAGGGGAGGTCAGAGTCGTAGCAGATAACAATCTGGGCTCCGTTGAGCACGTCGTAAAACTGGAGATTCAGCAGAAGGAGGACTTCAGAACTCATCTGCGCCGCGCCCCTGAGGCTAAGCCAGCCGAGGCTGCACCTGAACCTGGAAAAGTATCATTTGAGGTAGTTAAAGCTGAAAAGCCTACAGAGGACACTCAGCTGAAAGAGGTCGTTAAACTCAAGAAGGCCCAGAGAATTGTCCATGAGAAAGCCAGTGAGGAGTCAGAGGAGCTGAGGAGTAAGTTCAAGCGCAGGACAGAGGAAGGCTATTACGAGTCTATTACCGCAGTGGATCTCAAGTCTCGTAAGAGAGATGACTCCTATGAGGACCTGCTGAGGAAGACAAAGGAGGAACTGCTTCATCGTGCCAAGGAGAAGGAGGAGGCTGAGAAGAAGAAGGAGGAAGAGCGTCGCCAAGTTACTGCCAAGCCTCTAAAACCAGAGAGGGTCAAGCTCTCACCCAGCATGGAAGCACCAAAGATCCTTGAGCGTATTACCAGCCAGACAGTCGCACAGGGTGACGAAGTCAAGTTTAGAGTCAGAGTTGTTGGCAGACCAGAACCTGAGTGTCAGTGGTTCAAGAATGGAGTTCAGCTGGAGAAGTCTGACCGTGTTTACTGGTACTGGCCTGAGGACCATGTTTGTGAACTGGTGATCAGGGATGTCATAGCAGAGGATTCTGCCAGTGTCATGGTTAAAGCTTCCAGTACTGCTGGAGAGACTTCAAGCCACGCTTTCCTGTTGGTGCAAGGTAACAGAGATCTTGATCATGTACATATAATTCTGATTTTAAATCCTGCATTCTCTGAATAATGCTCTGGTGTCATTTCTGCAGCAAAACAAGTCGTTAACTTCACTCAGAAGTTGGAGGACGTCAGTGCCAAGGAGAAGGATACCGTGGCTACCTTTGAGTGTGAAACCAACGAGCCTTTTGTGAAGGTCAAATGGCTGAAGAATAATGTGGAGATCTTCTCTGGAGACAAATACAGAATGCACTCTGACAGAAAGGTTCACTTCCTGTCTGTGCTGATGATCGAAATGAGGGATGATGCTGAATATACATGCGTGGTTGTAGATGATGATACTGTCAGGACAGTCGCCAAGCTTAATGTTGAAGGTGGGTTAGGTTCTTCATATTCTGTTCATTAGGTAATGAAATCAACACAGTTCATTATTAATTATTCCAAATACAAAAACGGTTACCTCAAGGTACCTTATATGGTATATATATACTTTGTGACTGACTTGAACTTGTTGTATTATGTGACCAACAGGAGCTCCTCTGGAGCTGTTAAAGCAGCTGGAGAGCACCGAGGTGCCTGAGACTTACTCCGGAGAGTTTGAATGTATTGTCTCTCGTGAAGATGCCGAAGGCAGCTGGTACTTTGGAAATAATCTGCTGACTCCCAGCAGTAAATACGTCATCTCCTCCCGCCGTGGAAGACACACTCTCTCTGTGAAAGACGTCAAGAAGGAAGACCAGGGAGAATATACCTTCAAAGTGGGCGAGTTTAAGACAAGTGCCTCTCTGAAGATGAAATGTGAGTTGCTGTTCCCACTGAATTGGATATGGATGATGAAACTCTATGGACAGAAGTTATTGTATTTAAGAAGTAAAGTTAAGTCTACTGTTCAGACTACAACAAAATGTGTTACTGGAATTCGGGCTAACCATCTTCTCCTGTTTGTGGACAAACCATTTCTACTTTCCCTTAAAATACATTTAAATCTAAACGATAGGTTTTTATAAAAGTGCCACAAACCCAATTCCAAAAACGATGCGGTGCTGTGTAAAATAAAAATTAAAAACAGAATACTTTGATTTGCAAATCTTATAAAGCCATATTTTATTCATAATCAAACATAGAAAACATATCAAGGGGTGAGAAAGGTGAGAAAAACAGGCCCACGTGTCCCATGGTGTAGCATCGCTGGGTGTTTGGTTGCAGTTTAGCAGCGTGCTGCTCAAACACGAAGGCCTTCCTGAAACACACGTCTGCATGGAGCAGATGTTCCTCTAAAACCCGTTCATACCTTTCATCCCCGATGGGGCCTTTCCAGATACACACACACACACACAGACACACACACACACACACACATCGCATGTATAGTGCTAACAGTGACATCTTTATATTTTAGTGCGTCCAGTGACCTTGATGCAGCCTTTGTCTGACATGACCGTCTGCGAGGGTGACATCGCTCAGCTTGAGGTCAAGTTCTCCCAGGAGAATGTTGAAGGAACCTGGATGAAGAAGGGGCAGCCCATCACAGCCTCCAGCCGTGTGCATATAGTTATTGACAAACAAATTCACAAACTCCTTATAGAAGATACAACCAAGGACGACTTTGGAATGTATTCCTTCGAGGTTCCTGATCATGGAATTTCAACCTCTGCAAAGCTGGTCATTCAGAGTGGGTCACCTCAGATGCACATGTTTTTCTTTAATGACTTTCTGTTTCAAAATAAAATCCTCTAATCAAAATATCTCGTCTTGCAGCTATTGGCATCCTGGTCCCACTGAAGGACAGTCATGCAATTGAGGGTACAAAGGCCGTCCTAGAGGCAAAGATCTCTGCTCAGGACATCAGCTCAGTCAAATGGTACCACAATGACAACCTGCTGACAGCCAGTGAGCGAATCCAGATGGTGGCAAAGGGAACCAAGCAGCGCCTGGTTTTCACCAGAACATACGCCTCGGATGAAGGATACTACAAACTGGTGGTTGGCCGAGCTGACACCAGCTGCAGATTTACTGTTGACCGTACGTTACGCCATTATGAGGTCCAAGCATGTTTTGGAGTTTTACTACTGTAGTTGCATCATCTATATTCTGGAATGACCTGGAAGCTAAGTTTATGAATCTTTAGGTCTAATAAACCATGACCACCACTAGACACAAGTTTACCTGTAGAAAACTTAAGAAACTACATGAGAGTCATGACATGAGAGTCTATGCTTTCAGCTTCCAGAAATCTTACTCAAGCTGATTACCTGAAAAGGGTCACTAATATTTGCTTGGCAACATAAGAAATCGTTTTTCTGCTAAACACAATAGTTTCAGATTCTGCTGAATGCAACTTTCTTTAAAATCATATGAAAACTTGCACCTGCTTCTTACATATATAGTCTGACATGAACATCATGACCTCGTGGCATTTACAAAACTAGAACCAAGCCCATGTGGTACATCTTTATTATTGAATGAGTCAGATGGATAATTGTGAAAAAGTGAAAGCAAGTCGTTTACATTTCCTACAATTTTATTGTACATGTACAATAAAAGGGCTATTCTATTCTACTGTACATCAGTTTGAGGCTTAACTATCGTTCTGTCTCAACAGCTGTCCAGATTGTGACACCAATGAAAGACAAACAGTGCTCCGAGTCTGAAAATGTCACCTTCGAGGTTGAGGTCTCTCACGCAGGCATTGATGCTTTCTGGACCTTTAAGAGACAGCCGATTAAAGCTGGTCCCCAGTACAAGATGGAGTCCAAGGACAAGAGGCATAGGCTCACGGTCATGAATGCAATGAAGGATGAAGAGGGCGAGTACATGTTTGCTGCTGGTGAGAAGATGTGCAGTGCTTCACTCACCGTAACAGGTACGCAAAACACACTTTTATTGCACGCTTAAAAAGTTCAGAGAGGATTTCTGTCACCAGGCAGTAACTGGCTATCTCCTGTCCCCAGGTGGTGCCATTAAGAAGCCCCTACATGATTTGGTGGTAGCTGACTCCCAGACTGCTGTGCTGCAGTGTGAAGTTGCTAACCCATCCGCAGAGGGCAAGTGGCTAAAAGACGGTCAGCCTGTTGACTTCAACGAGAATGTGCTGAGCGAGGTGGACGGTGCTGTCAGACGCCTCGTTATCATCATCACTAAGGCCACTGATGTTGGAGAGTACACTTACCAGGTCGCCACCTCCAAGACCTCAGCCAATCTGAAAGTCGAGGGTAGGTCCAGCTTTCACCGTGGAAACACACACGCAGATCATACAGCCAATGCGGATCAGGAGGTTAGGAAGCTGAATTTGTTTGTGAAGGTGCTTAAAGTGTTTCTTTGAACATGGGCTGTGTCTTTATTCACGTCCAGTCCAGTTTTCAGAGTAATTATATTTTTCATAGTTTTTTATAGTTTTATAAAAACACACCATTTGTTGACTCTATGAGTGCAGACATTTCTTCCAAATGATCAAATGATACTTTAAATTTAAATCATTTAGATCTGGTCTGCTGACTCGTACCTGCCCACAGCAACAACCACAAAGACCCACCCTGTGAGAGTTTAATTCTGGACTCAGCCACTTCACTTGTTTAACTGTTACCTTGCCTCTTGGTGTTTTTCTCCACAGCTGTCAAAATCAAGAAGACCCTGAAGAACCTGAATGTAGTCCAGACTCAAGAAGCCACGTTCAGCCTTGAACTGACCCATGAGGATGTAAGGGGAGCACAGTGGATCAAGAATGGCATTGAGATCCAGCCCAGTGATAAATATGAAATTAGTGTTGAAGGCACACTTCACACATTGAAGGTCAAGAACTGCAGCACACATGATGAGTCTGTTTACTCCTTCAAACTGGGAAAACTGTCTGCAAGTGCCAGACTCAATGTGGAAAGTAAGTATTAACTATTGATTTTGGAATAAAACACAAAAAGCTTTTTGGCTCGGTGCCTACAAGGTTGGGAAATTTACCTAAACCACATGGGACCTCTAGATTCCTAAAGCTTTTTACCAACAGAAGACCTCTTTTCCCACAGCCATTAAGATCCTGAAGAAGCCAAAGGATGTGACAGCACTGTTAGGAGCAACAATTGTATTTGAAGTTGGCATCTCAGAGGATGACATCCCAGTGAAATGGATGTTCAATGACAAAGAGCTGGTGTCTGACGAGCGCTACAGCATCGTCTCTGAGAAGAAGAACCACAAGCTGATTGTCCACGACGTGGACGACAGCGTGCAGGGCGACTACATTGCTGTTGTAGGACACCTGCAGTGCAGCGCTCACCTCATTGTTGAGTGTAAGCATTATCACATCAGTAGTTTTTGGACGTAAAAAATGCTAAAACACAGCCAAGGTCACGTTAGGACTAAACATGTTTGTATTTTACTCTTAGCTCTACGTGTCACAACGCCCATGAAAAGCGTGGAGGTCACAGAGACTCAGTTGGCCACATTTGAATGTGAAGTTTCTCACTTCAATGTCCCGTCCACCTGGCTGAGGGATGGTGTGGAGATTGAGATGAGTGAGAAGTTCAGGATTGTGGTTCAAGGGAAACTCCATCAGCTGAAGATCATGAACACCAGCAATGAAGACTCTGCAGAGTACACCTTTGTCTGTGGGAACGACCGCGTCTCTGCAACGCTAACTGTTAACCGTAAGTTACCATCAGTGAAACTTAAACCTTTAGATTTACAATGTATCAATTCATCAATTAGTTCTTCAGAGACGTTTGACATGTTGCCAAATCATTACAATGTATCAAACCATGAAATGTCTTTAAGTAACTTTAATTGGATTTTTTCATTTCTCCTCTGAGTTGGAAATCTAAACATTTTTGTTACTAAAAAAAAAGAAATAATTAGTACATTCAGATTTTCTAATTGATATTTATGACAAATTATAAGTATAAGCCACTTTCAATTACTTTGTAGTTTAAGGTCAAATTTGAAAACTCTAACAACTAAATAACCGATCAGATGTTTGCACTAAGGATGAAGTTACAGATTAAAAAACACAACTTTGTATTCTTCACTGTACTTAAACATCTCTTCAAACTTATTATCACTTTGCTGTTTTCCAGCTATTCTGATCACAACGATGCTTGAAGACCTGAACGCTCAGGAGAAGGACACGGTCACATTTGAGGTGAATGTGAACTACGAGGGAATAACGTACAAGTGGCTGAAGAACGGCGTGGAGATCCGTTCTACAGACCGCTGCCAGGCTCGCTGCAAACAGCTCACTCACTCTCTGAGCATCAGGAATGTTCACTTTGGAGACAGTGCCGAGTACACCTTCATGGCTGGCTCTGCAGTCACTTCAGCTAAACTTCACGTTGAGGGTAAAATGCTTTGATTCTAATTTAACTTTTCAATTGACTTTTCACATTAGATGTTTTTGGACTCCATCAACTTCAAATAAAATTATTTCAACACCTCACTGTGTTTTAGCTGGTTTTTAAATGTGTGTGTCTGTCGTTTGTCTGTACAACCATCTCTGTTACCCCTGAAAGACATTTCGAACTTACTGAAAGACTCTTAAAGCTACTCTAATGGACTATCACGAGTAACTCTGAAATAACCAGCAGAATCTAACACATTTGACATGTAGACTCACTCACAGGACACTTTGAACTTTTCAAAGGACTTCTGGAGACTCCCCAAATAAGTTGATCCTCGTTAATGCCATAGGAACGCATACACAATTCTTTCTGTCACTACTAAAACCTCTAAAAGGTACCCTTCAGACCTTTTCTTACGGCCATTAATATTACTAATAGACATTTAAAACTTCTTTTATGTGAACGTCCAAACTTCCCCAAGGACTCCTTGAATCTTGTTCTTAGTAGTACCTCCTCAATGAGGAAGAAAACCTTGCAGAGGACGACTAGAGCCCCTGGGCTGATGAGTGATTTGTTTCCATAAGGTCAGACACACTGATAGATGTAGGTAAAGTAACTGTATCTATGTCCCTGTTTTAGCCCGTGTGGTTGAATTCACCAAACACCTGCGGGACCTGAAGATCACAGAGAAGAAGAGGGCAACATTTGAATGTGAAGTTTCTGAACCAAACATCCAGGTGATGTGGATGAAAGATGGTCAGGAGCTGGAGCTGTCCGACAGGTAGAGTCCTTGACAGTCAGTTGTGGGAACAATTACTGAGTTTTACCAACATAGGGATCAACTCTTAAACCTTCTACACCTTCTTTGTTTGCTACAGGTACAAAATGACATCGGACCAGTTTGTGCACCGTCTGGTTCTGCCCTCTGTGCGTCTGTCGGACGCCGGTGAATACACCGCTGTGGCCGGTTCAAGCATGTCCAAGGGCCACCTGGCAGTCGAGGGAAGAGATGTCAGAATCTCAGAGCCAGCCACCAGGGACATCACGGTAAGATTAGGTGGTAGACTCCATAAAAATGCACCAAATCCTGGGATTTTCATACTGTCTGTCAGTTTATGTGTGACCATGACAGAAATATTTTTCAGACTTTATGATCTTTGAGAGCACACACTGCCAATCATTTAATATATTCTTTTTCAGATATTTTGTCCTGCAAAACAGGAAGAGATTTCTTAATAATTATGACAGGGATTATTTTTTAGAAATACTAGAAGGACGTTTCTGGTGTTGAGCTAATCATGTGGTGTTTTTCAGGTTGTTGAGAAGCAGAGAGCCACTTTTGAGTTTGAGGTGAACGAGGATGATGTAGAAGGTCACTGGCTGAGAAATGGAGTGGAGCTCCAGTTCACTGTGGAGGAGAGGTTCAATTATGCCACCATCAGGAAGCTCCACCGTCTCACCATCTCTGAGACCTTCAGGAGCGATGCTGGAGAGTACACCTTTTTAGCCGGCAAAAACAGGAGCTCTGTGAACCTCCACGTCACATGTAAGAGCTCCAGTCCTGCATCAGTCCAGCACGGCTTTCCTTCTTTGCATGAAAAACCACTGGACAGTTTCTGAAAATAAAAGTGAAAAGCTTAAAAATGATACTTGTATCTGTTTTTAAATCTAATCTTTACTTTCTTCTATTATCATCAAAGTATTCTTTGACCAGAGGACCAAGCAGAATATTAACCTTTCTTTCTTCTACTTCAGTGCCAGAGCCACCTCAGATCATCAGGGAGATGCAGCCCCAAACCGCGATCTCGGGCAGGTTAGTTCGCTTCTCGACACAGGTGAGCGGCCTTCCTCCGCCTCAGGTGTTCTGGTACAAAGATTCTGAGGTTCTGTCCACGAGCTACAAGTGCAAGTTCCTCCATGATGGAGATGAGCATACGCTGCTGCTGCTTGAAGTCTTCCCTGAAGATGCAGGCATCTATAGCTGTGAGGCCAAAAACAACTACGGAGAGGTGATGAGCTCTGCATCTCTCACTGTGGAAGGTACATACGGAGTGTTTTTCTGCTCTTTAGGCTTTTATTGGAATTATGAATTATTAGCCACCAAATCGAGTGATGACTTACGGTGTCTTTGTCTTTTCTGCAGTTCCGGAGGTGGTTGAAGCCGTGGCTCAGGTTTCCCCTCCGGTCCTCATCGCTCCCATGAGGGACCTGCTGATCTCAGAAGGACATCCTGCCCAGTTCCAGTGCAGCGTCTCTGGGGAAGGTATTGACCGTTACTCGCCTCCTTTACTGTCATACGGCATTTTAAATACTCATTGACCATAAATCCTCTCGCAGCTGTCATCAGCATGGTGTGCCGTAAACGGTTTTTCCTGACTATGAGAAAACACTTTCTCTCCAGATCTGCAGATTTCTTGGTTCTGCAATGACAGAGAGATTAAACAGTCGGACATCTTCAGGATGTCTCATTATGATGACACCTGCCTGCTGGAGATTTCCCGAGTTCTCCCCAGCCTTGAAGGAGAGTACTCGTGTGTGGCTACAAATTTGGCAGGAATGGTCACATGTGCCGCCACTCTGAATAGTGATGGTGAGTTCAGCAGACGTTCGCATACTAATTGGATAAAACTGACAGGCTCTTACTGCACGTTCATCAGCTGCCAAGAAGGCCCTGAGTCGGTGCATGTTCCTCACAGGACTGATTTTAATTTTAGAATATATAATGTGGATTTCCTGTAAGACAAGGTCTGATATGTATAATGTCCAACTTATCGAGAACCGATAGTCAAAGTTTAACAGCATTCACTGACTACGGTGATATAATGATGGCAGCATGTAAGCACGTTCTGATTAGCCAGGTGTGCTTTAAGTCTCCCTCCATCCCTCCGGAGCCATGAGAGCGTGTTACACAAGAAGTTTACTTACTGGCAAAATATAAAAGGAAGCATCTATTGGCAAGCAAAGCAACCTTAACTGAGCCAATAGAAAGATGCATGGTTCAGCCGGGGGAAGTGGCAAGCATGTCAGCTGTACTGGAGATCAACGCTGCTGGCTGCACAAAGATTTTCCTTTTCTTTTAATATCCTCGTGGAGGATAGAGCCTAGCTTAGCATTCACAAATAAAACTGTTCAATATGTAAAAACATTTAAAATGTCAATTCAGGACAAATCAAATCTGCAGCTGTCAGCAGCTAGCACTGACGCCACGTCAGCTCTTATACCGTCGTGGAGAAAACCATGAGCCCTGCTCATGTTACAGTCACTGTGTGCATGACGTCTCCTGGATCTTTGTGCAACCAGCCCTTGGATTGGAACGATTTTCCAGCCACTCCATCCAACTCAGATTTCATACTTTCAGTGCGATGATGTGAGAAACTGACTCGTTTCTGTGAGCATGCAGCTGCTCCACACTGAATCTGCTCTTATCCTCACTGGAAGCATCATCTTAAAGGTCTCTTTGCAATGCATGACGTCTCCTCTCCAACACAAACAGTATTAATGGTCTTTATTGCGAGACTGGAGTTTTCATTTCAGAGGAATGCCGCATGGTTCAGGCACTGCTGGACTTTGGAAATGTTCCTCACACTCAAGCACGGACGTGATCGCTGGCTGTGTTTTTCTGTTTGTTGTTGTTCTGTTCCAGTCAAGCTTGCATGATTGACAGTGGACACCCACCACTGTCCACTCCCCCACTCATCATTATTGATCCTCAACGCGCCACTCCCACTGCACTGTTGGCAACAGGCTGTGACAGTAACCTGGAGAAATCCGTAGTGATGATGTGTTGACCTAATTCTTCTACTCTTTCTTATTGCCCAGATAAAAAAGCCTTAGCTAGCGTGTCAAGCACTGGGGCTGAGGCTAAGCTATTTCAGAGACTGGAGGCTCAGAGTGAGAGTTTCAGCTCTCTGTCAGTGGGACAAACAGCCCACAGCGTTGAGTTTACTGAGACGATCACTGAGAGTTCCTCTGTGTCTTGGAGCACGATTGAGATAAGCTCGATGGAGAGGAGCTCTGAGAGCAGCTTTGACTTGAAACTCTCAGCCAGCCCGAAGCTGCTGATGGAAATGAGCGATGTCCGAGTGAAAAGTGGTGAAATGGCAGAGTTCAGCTGCTCATTCGACGGCCAGCCCTTCTCCGGGGTGGTATGGGAACATAACGGCGAGAGCCTGGTGGACACCGAGCGGGTGAGAAGCTCTCAGAGCGGTGGCTTTTTGTCCCTGGTCATCCAGGGCGTCGGTGTGGCGGACCAGGGCATGTACCGCTGCACCGCTACCAACGAACTTGGCCACAACAGCTCCTCTGCTCAGCTCACTGTTGAAGGTGGTTAATCTTCCTTTTTTTTGTCAGCCTGTCTCTCCATCTGGTCCATCCCACCTTTCCAGCTGCTCCTCCCGCTTAGTGCTCCCCCACCCCCATGACTTAATATTTAATATGTTATCCTGTAACCTCTTGTAGTGTAATAAAATAACAAACCCTAGTCCAGTTTATCCTCCCCTCCTGTCAGCTTCGCTACGCTAACCTCATCATTCATCCTATTAACCTTTAGCATTTAGAGTCATGGCCATTTACTCTGTGACCCCTAATTACTTTTCCTAACTCTATTCTTACCCAGCTAAAGAAGCAAATCTCAAAGCAGAAACCCCCATCCCTACCGATTCAGTGCGCAAAGTGTCACAGGCACACAGGGAGACCCCTAGAGATCCCTCTGACCAAGACAAGCAGGAGGTGGTGGAGAAGCTGGGACCATCACCTCCATCTTCCCAGAGACCTTACAGCCTCATCAGCCTGTTGTATTTCCCTGACGTCGTGCCTAATGAATACCAAGGTCATCGCCCTTCCAGCTGCCCCGACTTCCTGATCAAACTCCCCCCTGAGCTGCTGATCAGAAACAAAGGCAGTGGCTCCCTGAATTGCGTTGTGAAGGGGCTTCCCACTGCGTTTGTCATTTGGCTTTACAACCAGTTGAATGCTGAGGAAACTGTGTGTTACTCTGTGAAAAATGAAGACCCCTCAAGCTGTATAAAAGTTAACAATGTGGGACCTGGAAAAGGGGGCTCTTACGTTTGCAAAAATATCAGCTCAGCCGGAGATGCTGAGTGCAGCACAGTGACGAAAGGTTGGCATCTGCATGCTTTTGGTCCTTCTGCTCGCTAAGGCTTCTTTACACCACTCATTCACACTGCTCTTCACCCACACAGCCAGCAGAGGCACACTTCTTCACAGGGTGACAACACTTCTTCAACAAGGTCATAACCACTGTGTGCTCACACCACTTAGTGTTTGAAAAAAAGCCCAGCGGTGCTGCACACTAAAAGACCAAACAGGAGCATGCACAAACGTCAGTTAAACGAAACAAAAAACGGACGGATGCACGAGCCACCACTGGTTCTAACAGTCTCCCGGGAAGCTTTAGGAATGTTTTTAATTTGTGAACATCTGTGTCTTTACAGTAACTACAGAGGAGAAGGTGACTCAGGTCCAGGAGGAAATAAAAGGTAAATATGGCTTTTATCCGTCATGTCTCCATCCTTAGTCTTAGTTGAGAAGTTGTTTTTGTTCTTTGTCTACAGGTTGGGTTGGTAAGAAGTTCAAGGGCACTTTTACGAGTTTACTTTGATAACTGAATCAAGTTCAGAGTGGACTCGGGACTTTTATTATCTGACTCTGATCATGTAGAATTTGTTTTGATTGAGGAAAAAGTCTTTGAATCCTGGATGCAGCGTTATAGACGTTTTTAGTCAAACATGTAAAACAGTGCTCCTGTACTGAATATGAATTGAACTGTAGTTTTCCTGTTTTCAGCAGACTGTACTGTGGTTGGAGTGTGAGTGTTAACCTATGATTATTCCACTCAGTCTTCTCTAGCTCAGCCGTCACAGTGGAAGAGGAAACCCAGGAGTCATACTTCACTGGCATAGAGATAGCAGACAAAACCAAAACACTTGAACTCGAACCAGAGTCTAAACGCTTCTCCAGCACTTTGGAAAAGAAAAAGGAAAAACCAGTTTTCCTCAGTGAACTTTCTCCAGCAGCTGTGACTGTCGGAGAAACGGCTACGTTTACCGTCAGAGTGTCCGGCTTCCCTAAGCCCACCGTTCAGTGGTTTCACAACGGGCACACTATAACCAGTTCATCTGTGTATACATTTATTCACGAACACGATGAGTACAGCTTGGTGATTAACACAGTTCACAGGGAATGTGAAGGAGAGTACTCCTGCACGGTCAGCAACAGATTTGGCCAGTCAACCTGCACTTCCTACCTGCACGTTCAGGTGAAGGAGCCAGAAAAGGAGGAAAGAGCCGATGAGAGAACATTTGCAGTGACTGGTAAGCACCCAGAATTCACTAAAACTATCGAATCTCTTCAGCGGCAGGAGGGGGCTCAGGGTTTCTTCAGTTACGCTGTGACTGGAGATCCTCTCCCTGAGGTCCAGTGGCTTAAAGGCACTTCCCACATCCAGCCGAGTGGGTTCTATATCATTGTGAACAACCCGGATGGATCCGGTTTTATTAACATTAAGAGTGTCAAACAGGAGCACAGCGGCATTTACACCTGTAAGGCCTCAAACCAGTACGGGGAAGCCTGTTGTACTGCAGAGCTGCTGGTGTTCAGGGAGAAAGCTCAGGAAGAGGACACGTTAGTACAGAAAACAAAAGGTTTGACGATATCGATGGCAGAACAAACCGCAGAACTCAGATTACACCAGGAAAGATCCCGGTCTGAACACATGATCTATACCATTAGTACTGAAGACCGACAAATTATTCCCAGTGAAGAGGTGGAAACGCTCAGAGAGCTCAGTCTCTCTTCTGCCACCCTTCATCGTGAGCAGCTTACCCACCAGGCAGCGGTGCTGCAGTCCCATGAAATAGAGGAGAGGGTTTCATTAGCCCCCAGCCATCCACCTCAGGTCTCAGCTGTCCCTGTTAAACAGCATCACCTGGCTGCTTTCCTATCCTCAGTCCAGGAGAGACAAAAGATCACAGCACAGCACTCTGAACGGATTCTCAGCCCCGAGGTAGTTGAGCTGGAGTCAGCCAAAGAGCAACCGCCCAAGCTCATGTCAGCTACGTCTGAGGAGGTCCTTCCCCTCAGCACAGTGAGAGCTGAGGCACTGATAGGTCAGAGTCCAGAACACGTAGAGACCTCCAGCGAGCCGAGGCAACTTGTTACTAGTCACCAGGTCGAGCTCGCTGTACCTATCGCTGATGAAATCTCAGAAGACATGCACAGAGAAGAGGAGGAGAGGAGTTTCAGAGTCACAGAGGGGGTAAAGATTTTATACTCGGCTCAGTATGCAGGACAGCTTCAACTTACAGAAGGACACACTGAGCATCTTCCAGCTTTAGATGCAGACATTAAAGGTTCAGCTGGCAAAGAGCAGCCAAAACCAGTGGTAGCACCAGTGAGTGAAGCCAGAGTGGCTTTATCCAAAGAGCAAAAGCTTGAAATACAAAGACCCGAGCAGGAGAGCATTACCCCGTGCAAAGACATGGTTTATAATTCAGCCGTACAGACCGAAGAGAAATATGAGCTCTGTGCTGATCAAACAGGACAAGTGCCACATGGGGCATTTTCTGTAAGTGTGCAGCCACAGCAGGAGGGAGAACAGCTTCTGAATCTGCAGGTTATCAGTGATCAGGATGTTTTACTGTGTGAGGGAAGGTTGAGCAGTGAAAAACCTCCAACAGAACAAGCAGAAGCGAGGAAAAGTCAGACTTTGCTGCATTCAGTGACTCAAGAAGAACAGAGGACTGTAGTTTGTGAGCCAGCTTCAGAATTAGAAACAAAGATGAACGCCACCTCTGTCCAGCCAAAGCAAGAGTTGGTGCAACCAAAACGCCTTCAGTCGGTCCATTCTCTAACAGTTTTACCAAAAGAAGGCATACTCGCTGTCACCAAACCTGACCAGCAGGTGGCAGCACAGAAACTGGAAAAGGCTAGATGGCATGCAGCTACCTCAGAAGAGAGAATGGAGGTCACTGCGGATTACCACAAAGATCTTGACATGTCTGTGATCAGCGCTCGACCACAGCCGCGTACTGAGTCCAGGCCTCTACGCAGCCTTGCTGTGTCCTCCCAGCCCACGCAGCTCCCAAAAGAGACTCCTTTTGTTACGAGCGTCACGCCACAGCGAGCATTAGTCCAGAAAGAGGATTACTGGAATATCATGCAGTCTTTGATCATCACAAACAATCAAAGTCTGGAAGAGGGTCACACTACTAGCTTCAAAACTGATGAAAAATTTAAGCCTGAGATTAAAATTGAGGCCAAGATACCAAAAAAGCAAGTTTTCATAGAAGAAAAAGCAATGGCCACCGAAAGCTGCACTATCTTAGAGGCGGCTGAGGAGGACTTTGCAGTTCAGATCCAGGAAGGTCAGTCAGTCCGACAATCAGTGTTTCTAGAAGAAAAACAAGTCATCGTAGGAGAGCGGTCGAGTGAGATTCGTAAATTCGAGGGCTCCGCGGTCAGTGTTAAGACACAGCCTAAAGGGTTTCTCTTTGTCCCAGAGGCTCAGGATGCTCTGACTCTACCGAAGGAACTGAATTTCATCATTTATGCCCCCAAACCATCTAGTTTGAATGTACGACATCAGCTCAGAGATGCTCTTCACTCAGCTGTGGCCAGTAATCCACCAGTTTTACTGGCTGATGTTGTTGAAAGACTAGAGGCAGCGGAGGTCCATGAGGTCAAGGTTCAGAGAGAGCCCAGGCAGGCTGCATGTACCTATCTTATCACATCTCCAGGTTCCCCCCTGGAGATCACGCTGACTTTTGAAGGTGATTACCCTCAGACAGCTGACCTTAGGCATGAACTCCAGGTAGCTTTGCATGCTATGGTTTCCCAAGAACAGCCAAGTCTTACATCAGAGCAGCCGGGCACCATGCACATTGATAAGCCTCAAAAAGTGCAGGTCAGCTCAGTGTCCTCCAAGGAGGTGTTGTCTTCTGTGGTGGACTCTGTGGTGGTGGCAGAGAGCGCAGGCAGTTTACTTCCTGCTGTATCTCAGTCTGCAGCTCTGACGACAGAAGCCAGGGCTTCCTTTCAAAGTGCGACACTTCAGAGCCAAACCGAGATCCACGAGTCCAAGAGCAGCAGGACGGTTAGATCAGACAAGGACGGCACAGTATGCCAGGCTGAACAGCATGTGGACATTTTTGTCCACAGAGAAACCAGAGAGGAATATCTTTCAGAGGCAATCATGATCAGTGAGTCCTCGGACAGTATCACTGATTATCCCGTCATCGTAGATGTTCTGGAGGATGTCTGTGCTGAGGAAAATGGCAGGGCTGTATTTACTGCCAGTGTTAAATACGTCACCAAAGTTAGCTGGTTTTTCAATGGGAAGCTGGTGAAATCTGGCAAAGAGTTCAAGTGTTTTAAAGACCGTGACACATACACACTAGTTATTGACAAAGTTGTCAAAGACCGCCATCAAGGAGAGTATGTCTGTGAGGCTGAGAATGAAGTCGGCAAGACTACGACATCTTCGAGGCTGACTGTGGTCCCACGAGGTTTGATGATGAGAAATTCTTTGATATCATCATCATCCACTAACTTCACGCTGTGGTGAACGTCTGCTGTCTGCAAACCTCAACCAAAACTCAAAGTTTAGCAAATGAGCACAAAGGCAGAACTGAAAATGGCTTACACCAGGGGTCCCAAAGTCACGGCCTGTAAAACTGACTAACGTGTGCACTTATGTCTGCAATTTTTTTTTTGTTAAATACGAACACAATGATAGCAGAAGTGCTGCCACGTGTGTGGGCAGACAGACCAGTGACGCCTCATTGAACTACGAAATAAACACAGTTAGTGAGGAAAAAATGTCTCGTTATAAAATATTTGAAATTTTGAAAAACAAACATTTGTATTTGTGGGAGTTTGCTTGTTTGCTTTTCTTGTTCACTTGAACACTAAGGTGGCCGTCCAATGAGAGGACGTTGCCAGCCCACAGCTCATTTACCTTCGAGACACCTGGCGTGCAGTTTTTTTTCAAAAGAAAAGAATTTGGACTTTGAGGCTTTCAGCAGACAGCAGTGACATGATCACATCCCACTCCATCTACTCCTCTACAACCTTCACAGCCAAGCAGTCTCCTTTGACCACATGCCTTTAATCATTCATGTTTGCATGCCTTCTCTCCTTTTGTCGTCACAGACTTCCTGTTCATCACTTCAGCTTGTGCATTTTTTCTCCTCCACTTTCATCCCACCATAACTTTGTGTGTCACTTTCCGTCCCAGGTTCACTTCATCACCGTCTCCAGTACAAACACTAATTTTTGTTTCTATTTCATTTCAGCACCTGCTGTGTACTCACACGTTCTTGTTGCCTTTCTCTCTCTTTTGCACACACAGTGAAGCCTGTGTTCAGGCACAGAATTGTCCCAGTGGAGATAAACATCGGCAGCTCTGCCAAGTTTGAATGTGAAACTGGGGACGCTCCAAACGTGAGCTTCAAGTGGTTCAAAGATGGACACCCCATCAAAGGGAGTGAAAAGTGCAGGATTATCAGTCGCTTCAGCTCTTCCTCCCTGGAGCTTCTGAGGACAACCAAGGATGACAGTGGCGAATACACCTGCAAGGCGTCCAATCAGCACGGCAGTGATGAATGCTCCGCCTCCCTCAGTGTCACAGGTAAGAGCCGTGCATCTTTCCTTCTTCTTGGCTGGTTGAGTTTGGAACTCATGTTGTTTTTATTCCCCCTCCAAGGGGATGATGGCGTGTTTTCGTCTTTGTGCTGGCGTTTTGTTTGTGTAATTGTTTCTTGCCCTGTTGGTTTGATTTTGGTTAAGGTAAAACTTATTAACACTGATTTGTTTCTCTTCTTCTTAATCCCTGTAGAACAATTTCCTCCTGTCTTTATAAGTAAGCCTGACCCTCAGACTGTGTATGTTGGAAAGAGGGCTGTAATGCAGTGTGTAATAGCAGGAACTGCTCCTCTGAATGTTGTCTGGCTTAAAGACAACCAGGCCTTACCCAAAGTGCCCGCACACTACCAGAGCTCTTATGAAAAGAATAAGCACACTCTTGAGATACCCAGTGCTGAGGCAGCTGACAGCGGGCTTTATGTGTGCAACGTATCTAACAAAGCTGGGACAGCTGAATGCCACATGGAGCTGTGTGTTATCGATAAACCCAACTTTGTAAGGCCCCTGGCTTCAGTCGCCGCTGTGGTTGGAGCTGCTCTGCACCTTGAGTGTCAGGTGGATGAGGACACTGGAGTAACTGTCACCTGGACCAGAGATGGCAGAAAAGTCCACCAGTCTCCCGACTGTAAACTGTTGTTTGAGGATAAGACAGTTACTCTTGATATCCTAAAGACCACACTGAAAGATTGTGGAAATTATGTGTGTACAGTGGCAAACGAAGCCGGCAGTGCGTCTTGCTCCACCACGGTGAAGGTACAAGGTAAGAGCTAGCTAGTTAAGTTTCAGGGAAACTGCAGCATTTGTAGCTTTTGCAAATCTGCAGTCCTGGAAGTTAACACAGTTCAATTCTCTGGTGTCCATTTTAGATGATAGACAGCAACTTAAATCTCTCCTCTTTCATTGCGTGGTTGCTGTTTTTGAATGCAGTCTTTGACTTCACAATAGCTCTTTGTTAACCACACACCTCTGCAGAGCCACCGGTCTTTGTAAAGCGGCTGGAAGCCACAACGATTTGGAAGCAGGGCAGCACCGCTCGCCTGCAGTGCACCATCAAAGGATCTCCCGAACTCCACAGCACCTGGTTCTTGAATAACAGTGAGCTGTCCACTGGTGGCAGACATGCTGTCGGTCTGAAAGACGGTGTCGCCACTCTCGAGATACACGATGTCCTGTTGACTGACAGTGGAAACTATACCTGTGAGGTTCTCAATGAGTGCGGGTGTGAAAGCTGCAGCATTAAAGTAACAGTGAAAGGTGTGTAGAGTTGTTGGCAACAAAAGGCCCAAGTCTGTGCAAAAACACATATAACCGAGCTGTATGTTCCCTTTAGAACCTCCGTCAATCAGAAAGGAGTTACTGTCCACTGAGGCGGTCAGAGGATCGGTAGCTGTGCTGGAGTGTGAGATTGCAGGCTCTGCACCGCTCGAAGTGTCTTGGAAAAAGAATAAGAAACGCCTGTCCTCAGATAAGAAGTACAGCATAGTGTCACAGGGATCGCTGGCCTCTCTGGAGATCCAGTCCTTTGAGAGCGCCGATACTGGTGAATACGAATGTGTCGTATCCAATGAGGTTGGGTCAGCAACCTCCAAGTCAGTACTTAAACAAAAAGGTTAGTGGTGTAAAAAAGGACTTTCATTACAACGTCCCAAAGTCTGGCAGGTGTTGACATTATGATACCAATCGTGTTATTTCAGAGCCACCTGTGTTCTCAAAGAGGATTGAGAGCGCTACAGCAGTTTTGGGAAATACAGTGAAATTACAGGGAACCCTGAAAGGTTCAGTTCCCATCACCATTAAATGGATGAAAGACTCTGAGCTCCTCAGAGATGATGATCCCAATATCAAAATGTCCTTTGTGAACAACATCACTAGTATTTCCTTCTCATCTGTTGAGCTAAAGCATGGTGGAAAGTATACTTGTCTCGCTGAAAATGAGGCAGGACAGCAAAAATGTGAAGCTACCTTAACTATTCAAGGTTAGAAAACATTCCCATTACAAATGTCTTCAGAGTTCAGATCTAACTGTTTGTTAAGTGTAAAATTCAATGTGTTTTAGAACCTGCTCGGATTTTAGAGAAAGCAGCCTCCATCAGCGTGACTGCAGGCGACTCTGCCACGCTGGAGTGCACCGTTTCTGGAAGCCCTGAACTCAAAGTGAAATGGTTCAAAGACGGCAAGGAGATGATCAGTGGTCGTAAATATAAAATAGCAGTTAAGGAGAACACTGCCATTTTAAAGATTCTCGCAGCAGATAAAGGTGACACTTCCGAGTACAAGATGGAAGTGTCCAATAAAGTTGGAAAAGACGAGTGCACGTGCTCGGTTACAGTTATAGGTCAGTTTTAGTCAATAAAACATCATTAATATCAATTTGTCCGATCAGCACAAGTGGAGCTTGTAATATGTTTGATATACTTCCCTACACAGATCGTGCAGTTCCCCCATCCTTCACCAAAACTCTAAAGAAAGTGAATGGGAGCATTGGCAGTAATATCACGTTGGATTGCAGGCTTGCTGGATCTCAGCCGATGGCTCTGTCTTGGTACAAAGACAATAAAGAAATCCACAGCGATGCAAAATATAAGCTTGATTTCAGTGAGAGTACAGCCTCTGTGACAATATCTGGCCTGGATCAAAGCGATGGTGGAGTTTATACATGCAAAGCTTCTAATGATGCTGGAGAAAAAGAAACCAGTGGTACTCTCTCCATCAAAGGTCAGAGAAGCTGCATTACCTCAAGTTAAGCAGTAGCCATTAGAGATCAACACAGGCTTAATGACAGGGTGTAAACTGATTTGCTGTATTTCTTCCCAAATGACTCCAGAACCTCCAGCCTTTACCTCGAAACCTGAATCTCTTGATGCATCCCCGGGATCAAATGTTGTCTTAAAGTCTGACTTTACGGGATCGGCTCCACTTATCGTTAAATGGTTCAGAGAGGAGAAAGAGATTTTCACTGGGGGAAAGTATTTCATAAAGAAAGACTCCTCTTCCAGCTCCCTGGAGCTTCAGTCTGTGAAACCCAGCGACTCTGCCAAATATACATGCCAAGTATCCAACGACGCTGGGAAGGTTGACTGCACTGCAGCGCTCTTCATAAAAGGTGCAGAAAAGCTGCTGCTTTTGTTCTTTCTTTAAAACGTGTTAAAAAGCTGTTTTCCTTTAATTAACCTCTTTATCGCATCTATAATTGTTACTCTTAATTTACAGAAGCCCCAACATTTATGATGAAGCTTGAACCTTCAAAGCTGCTGAAAACAGGACAACCTCTGAAGTTGTCCTGCAAAGTGCAGGGCACTCCTGTTATTACTGTCACGTGGTTTAAAAATGGCTCAGAAATGGTTTCAGACCGCAGACACAACATGACCTTCGACGGCTCGTTGGCCACTCTGGAGGTTGAGAGTTGCTCTGTAGAGGATAGTGCAGATTACGTCTGTGTGGCGTCCAGCGAGGCCGGCAGGGAGCAGTGCAGCAGCTGTGTAACAGTGAAAGGTTGGTTCACTCTTCACCGGTCAAAGACTCCGTCTCCAACACCAAGATTAAACCTGGTTCAAGACGCAGGTCTTCATCTAGGTTTAGTTTGTGAAACTTGCTAATTGATTTTACTCTTGTTGCTCTCCTCAAACTTTAGATTTGTTTCCATCTAAAGTCTGGTCCACATGGTTTTCTCACATGTTCGGTGCTGCATGCATTATATGGACGTCAGTGCAGGGTTTAGTTACTCTCCATCAAAGCAGAGACTCCCAGTAATGGTATATTTGTAAGAATCTAGCAGGGGATTACTGGGGTTTCTGGCCGGACTGTTGGTGTAAATGGTTGTCAGCCATGTTATTAACAGCTGACCTTTTCGTACAGATGTTTAATGGACAGACTGCATTAACTGACAGTGTGAACTTGTGTTTTGAATATGCCATGCTAACCCTATAAATTAAAAATAAAGAGCCATGCAGGTTATTCAAATACTCTGAAATGTCCATGTTTTATGAGCGTGTGTTGGCCCTTTGCCTCAGCAGATGGTCTAAAGAAATAAACCCATGACACATTACCTGTAACCCAAGGATTACTAGTCATTTAAAAACCATTGTCCAGTACAGGTTCACTGTTACTCAGAAAACCTAGAAACTAGAATTTAAAGGCTAAATGAACTCTGTGGACCAGACTTTCCACATCAGACTAGAATTATTTCTTCATGCCTGTAAATGTATTTTTTATTCTCTGTTTTTTTAGAGCCTCCATTGTTTGTGAGGCCTTTTGAATCAGCTGAGCTTGTTACGGAGTCTGAGATTATCTTGGAAGCAATCGTTTCAGGTTCCCCTCCATTTGAAATAAGCTGCTTCCTCAACGATAAGCTGATCAGAAATGACAAAAGACATAAAATCAGTGTGGAAAATGACACAATCACTCTTCAGATCTCACACTGTCAGACCGGAGATGAAGGAACATACAAGTGCACTGTTTCAAACGATGTTGGGGAGACATCTTGCTCTTGCCAGATTTCTCTGAAAGGTTTGTGGCGGGAGAGTTTGCCTCGCTGCATGCGTCCACTGTCATTGCAAAGGTTTAGGATTTCAGTTTCATTTAGACTGCCTGTGAATGATGACAACATATGTGTTTTCCCACTAGAACCACCATCATTTGTTCAAAGACTAAAGGATATGTCCTGTATTGTGGGCTCTGAAATCTCCATGAAGTGTATGTTGTCTGGGTCACTTCCCATGACTTTGTCCTGGATCAAGGATGATCGTGAACTTACGGAAGACGAGCATTTTCAGATGTCCTGTGAAACCACAAGTGCCATGTTGAATTTGAAAAATGCTCAGTTGTCACATGGCGGGAAATATGTCTGTCAGGCGCAGAACAAAGCCGGGACTCAGAAATGTGCCGCAGTGCTCATAGTGACAGGTTTGTACGATGTTCGTGGGTCCTAATCGTCCGCTTTTGCCTTTGTGTCGAGCTTGCCGCTTCATCTGTCGCATGCAGCGCAGTGATCAAAACTAAGTTACCTTTGAATCATTTTGTTATCGCAGAGCCAGCAAGTATTTCAGAGCACCCAAAGTCCATCAGTGTAACCCATGGCAACCCAGCCAGATTTGAATGCAGGTTTTCAGGCACTAAACCACTGAAGGTCAGATGGCTTAAGGCGGGAAAGGAGCTGCCGTCAGGACAGAGATACAGAATACAGAGCACAGACACGAGCTCTGTGCTCAAGATAATAAAAACAGAGAAGAGCGACAGCGGTGACTACACTGTCGAAGTTTCAAATGTTGCTGGGCACAGTTCATGTGACGCATCAGTTACAGTCTTAGGTCGGTTTCCCAAAGCTTTGTTGAATCTGTTTGCAGTTCTTTCTACAGTCACCCTGACAATGTTTTTTTTTTTTCAACTTGTATGTAATAGATCAGATTATTAAACCGTCCTTCACAAGAAAACTGAGAGAGACTGAAGGTATAAAAGGATCGTGTGCTCATCTAGAGTGCCTCGTATCTGGTTCTCTGCCGATGACGATACAGTGGTACAAAGATGAAACAGAGATCCAGACTTGTCAAAAATATAAATGCACGTTTTTCGAAAATGTTGCTTTCCTGGAAATCGGCTGTCTCGACAGTAGAGACAGTGGGAGCTACACTTGTGTGGCTGAAAACGAGGCAGGATCTGCCCAGTGCTCCGGGATTTTGTCTGTTAAAGGTTTGATCTCATGCATCATCAGTAGTTTTTCA